CAAGTACACTAAATAACAACCTTTCAAATTTTACAAGTATACTCTTTTCACTTCAATATTCCTGGATCCACCTGGATCCATTCGAAGTAACAATTTTTATTTCTTGATTTACAAGTCATTACTAAAATGCCTGTTGGTTTTTGTTCTGTTTGCAAAATAGAAAAAGATGACTCTAAATGGTGAAATATTTCAGAACAAGGAAAAGAAAAAGCTGAACTAGTAGGTTATGAATTAAATATAGGTGAAAGAATATGTTCTAAATGCTATAATTCTCATATAGCATATGATAGACATAATAGATATAAAAAAAAATCTGAAGATGCGCCATATAAAATAAAAAAACCAATTGGAATGGAAGTAGAAGCAAATACTAGTTTACAAAATCAAATTATAGAATTAAAAGCAGAATTAGAAAAGATTACTAGACCATCAAATCAATATATTAAAGGTATATTAATTCAATATTAATTAAATAAATTATTAAAATACTAATTAAATGAATTATTAAAATATTAATTATATAAATTAATCTTATTACTATTTTTTTGTTTTTTAAAATTAATTTTATTATGCCTATTTTGTTTTTTAAATATTTTAATATTACTTATTTAATTAAATAAATTAATTTTTAGATGGCATGCAATTTTCTGATTTTTTTAACAACCAAATAAAAAGACTTTCTTCTGTTTTATACAATTATCAACATCGTGAAAAAAATGTAATCATTAATGATCCTGATGAATTTGTGAAAATGATTGAAGAAAGAGATCCTTCATTAAAAGGCTTTTTTGATATGCTATATCAAAGCATGAACCCTTCTTCAAAAAATTCCTCTACAGAAATAAGCCTAAAAAGAAAAGTAATGATTCTCTGTTACCAAATAGCTAGCCTTAGAAACAAACATGTCAGTTCAGTCAAAAATCAAATAGCTCTATATATGTCAAATACTGGTACATCTACATCAGGTATTAATACTTTAGCAAACTTGGGTATTGCATCCACCTATAAAATGGTTTCAAGAAAAAAAAATGAAATTCTTTTAAATCATGAAGATGGGGTTTTTAAATATCTTAATACAAAAATTAATTCATTAATTATATTCCTTATTGATGATTATCATGACATCCATCAATCCTGAAATCCAATTGATGAAAATCTATCAAATGTTGCTCATATGGCAACTACCATGATCTATACTCCAAATGTATTACCTTTGCCATATATATCACCATGACATCCATCAATCCTGAAATCCAATTGATGAAAATCTATCAAATGTTGCTCATATGGCAACTACCATGATCTATACTCCAAATGTATTACCTTTGCCATATATATTGAACAATAAAGTTTTTTACTTTAAAAATTACGTTACACACATAAAAATTAGTGTAACATTTCGAATGTCCACCATGCTGGTGGACATCCCATATGTACAGTCCCTTGAAAAAAGTATCGCTTCACCTGATGATCGACGAAAATAATTGGATAACTTCTGTGATATAAAAAG